TAATCATAATAACGTGACTGTTATTCCACTGTTCTTAAAAAAGATTCGATTCTCGTTGTTTTCATCAGGTGATAAGTGTAAAGGACAATGATAGTTTATCTTCCTTGCTAACAGTGGAACTGAAGTCAGATTTGCTGTTGATATTATCAGATGTACAGGGCATTTACAGCAGCCCTCCCGACTTGCCTGACTCTCGCCTTCTAGACACATTCAGGCCAGCGAACGTCAGTAATATTGAATTTGGAGAAAAGTCACGTGTTGGCAGGGGAGGCATGGAGTCTAAAGTGAAGGTTTGTACTTCCAATAGTTCAAAACGTGTTTGCAAAGAGTATGAAGGGGGAACTTTAGACAATTGAACGTCCATGAGCGAGGATTGTTAGAACACCGGACACTCTCAAGGGGAGGTCAGCTAAATTTTATTGGAACGCAACATTGAAATTCCCATTCGCAAGCAACGAGTTCTCATTCAAACACATGGTGAAAGACCAGCCTTTTTGATTGAATAAAATCAAAAAAAGGTACAAACGAGAAAGATACTAAATCCTGATGTAAACTTTAAGGGAGGCAGACAGGTACCGAAATTTACATGCAGCCAAATCCTTTCAATTTTGGACTATCCGTACACACCTACCTCTTCTCAATTATTCTCTGAGCACATTTTAGTTACCGTAAAATTGGCCTATAGTGCCGTTTTGAAAATTATCTGTAGTTTGAAAATCTCTGTTTTCAGTGGAGAATTTCTTCGGATTAGTGTGGACGTAAGGCAGAACGATTATAGAAAGTCACAGCACGGTGTGAACGGGGCTTTATGCTAAATTTAGTACGAGTCATAAATCGTGTTATGATTCCTTTACAAAGGCAAGTTTGCGTTTGAATCTTTGGGAAAGAGAGATCGAAACAGTTTCGCGATTTGCTCTCAGAGAATAAGGCTTACAAAATAACGAGGAATTATTTCAACTCTCGTAACTTAACTATTTTATTTTTACCCTCTTTGTGACTGTTTAGGCTGCAACCCGGGCACTACAGAGCGCTACGAGTGTAGTTATAGCCAATGGTACCGGAAGTGATTACGTCATTCGTCAAGTTCTGGATAGCCGAAAGGTTGGAGCATTCTTTACTATGGTCGACGAACCAGGGCCATCTGTAGAGAATCAGGCTGCGGCAGGTACGTCAGAATGTACCTTAGTCCATGTCATCGTCGTGTTCTAGTTTACCTTATAGTGATTGGTTGGAAACTTAAGGCAGCAGGCCAATCAGAGAGCGCTTCATATTAGATCGAAACTTGATTGCGATACTTTTATGTTTAGAATTCTCAAACTCTAATGGCTATCTGTTACAGAGTTGATCTCGACCTTAACTTAAATATTAAGAAACACTGGAGGTACAGGATCCTGAAATCAAACAATTAAAGAGGAGATTGGGATGTCCACATAGGGTTCTGTGAAATTCTTGATTTTAGATGCCAGATTGGGGGCAGTTTTGTAAAAATGCCATATCAGCGTTTTCATTCAGTGTGCATCGTGAACTAGATACCGAGTGTTTTAAGTGATTACAGTGTCTGGTTAAACCTTTCAGTAACTTTCCTCCACCCCCCCTCCCTCCTGAAAATTTGTGGTAACTCGCGCGTGATGATATACCGAGTGGTCCTGGTTGATCCTGTGACTGTAAATTTGCGCCTTCTTGTCGGGATATACTAGTTTTATAGAATTGTTTGCTGTTATACTGTTTTTCTCTTTTTCTGCGTAAATGTGTTTTTCGGTTTCTTTTATTAATTCGCTTTTTTTCATAGCTCGCAAAAGGGGAAGAGCAAGCACTGACCGCTGACCAGGTACGGTTGTAGACTATTAAAAATGCTTAAGGCCGAACAGTTGTTTGCTATTAATTTAATTCCATGTTCAGGTCTAGCCTGCAGAGCAGGCGTAATCCTTTTGTGTTGTTCAGACGAACGGAGGCAAACGCGAGGCGAGCGTGAAGTAGCACGTTTCTCCCCTTGCACGCGACTGGCACTCCGCGCTTGTCTCGCGCTTACCTCCGTTCCACTGAAAAACGCCAAACAAATAATGTCTGTTCAGCAGGCTTCTTTGGACCATTTCAAATTATCCAGACTTATAGGCAAAAAAAAATCATCATAGACAACCTAAATAAAATTTTGTTAAACAGTTCAACTTAAGACAGTTTTATGTAGAATTTAGCTCAGTGAGAATGTAGTTAAAAGCTAGACAATTAACTTTTCTGACACTATCACTGTCTCCTTTCCTTACATGCACTTTTCTTCCAACTTGATAAGATGGCCTGGGCACCAGTAAGTAACATTTTCAATCACAAATCCCTAATTCAGTCACTTAGCATCATTTAGAGAGTTTAGTTGGCACAAGAAGTTGTAGTTAACATTAGTGAAGACAAAATGTTGAAACTTTACTTTCTGTTTCCTGGTTATCATCAATTCCAAGAACCCTAAAAAAATAATATGTATTAATTTTAGCAGTTTTTTTTAACCTTGGGAGGCCTTATAATTGAAGTACAGCATGTACATGTTTATTTTATTGTCAAACTTTGAGAACATTACCTTTAATTTGTGGATCAGTGAGTGAAAAGTTTATATTATGCTCTGGCATATTGGAGATTGACCTAGTATTTTAGTGTGTCATGCAGTTTTTGGCATTAGCACATTGCTGCATTGTGTCAGCCTGGCATTTTTAGCTTTTAACGCTTTATTATTAATCCTAAGATCTGATTGCTAATAATATTCTCTCCTCTAGCTGCTACACATTTCTTTGTAAATTAGTTACAAGAATTTGGTGTTAGATCACAATAACAAATTCTACTTGATAAGTTTTGAGTGTTCTCTTTACCTGTTTGCTGGATATTATTGAATATTATTGGGAAAAGTTACATGTTGATCACTTCTTGGAGTTCAAGGGTCCACCAATTCTAAGCACAATTATTTATCACAATTTATCTTTAGTTTCCTTGGTGACTCTGGCTTTTGTCTGAATTAATCTCACTCATAGGATTGTTTGCTGTTCCTGTCAATGTCTATGTTTATGTTGATTCCAAAGCCTTGTTGCATGCTCATTGTAAACAGTCCTGCAAAATGCACTCAGTACGAGCTGTTCCTCTAGTGAAAAAACTTTCAAATTTTGTTACAGAAAGCAGCCTAGTGAAAGTCTTGTTTATAATCTTAGTCAGTGGACTGTCAGAAGAGATTAACAGATATCTTGTTCTTACAATATCAGTAAGCAAATTCTCCACACTGTTCACCAGTACGGTACTGACTAGGAGAGTTTGTTGAACGATCAGTAGCTTCTGCAGTTGGTGATCATTTGCTTTATTCTCAGTACTGTAATGTTTGATTCAGCAGTCATATTGTAAGAAGAGTTTGATGCTTTTCACCCGCAGGGTTAACCAGCATTCAGTGTTCATCAGATCATCAGAGCAGACATTACTAATCAGTCAGAGAGTTTTTAGCTTAATATCACGCCAAATTCTCAAATTTTCAACATCTATTTATCGGTAGTCAAACGACAGAGGATGCAATTTGGAATGAAAAAAACGCGTGGAAAACTTTTTACTGACAAAAACAAATTGTGCACTTTTTTGATCCAGCAAATAGTCACTGACAAAACTGAGAACAATCACTGAATCCTCAACATGACAGATACAAGTCTGCAGGTGTTCTAAGCATGTAGGAATCTTAGCTGTGGATAAAATTTTTAGAGAAATTTTCAATTGTGTGCTGAAAGTAATACGGAATTACTTTGGGGTTTTACTTAACTTTCCTCTGTGACTTCCTGATGTTACTGTTAGGCTTCAACGTAAATGTGGATTTGATAATAACGTGACTGTTATTCCACTGCTCTTAAAAAGATGCGATTCTCGTTGTTTTCATCAGGCGATAACTGTAAAGGACAATGATAGTTTATCTTCCTTGCTAACAGTGGAACTGAAGGCAGATTTTTGCTGTTGGTATTATCAGATATACAGGGCATTTACAGCGGCCCTCCCGACTTGCCTGAGTCTCGCCTTCTAGACACGTTCAGGCCAGCGGACGTCAGTAATATTGAATTTGGAGAAAAGTCACGTGTTGGCAGGGGAGGCATGGAGTCTAAAGTGAAAGTGTGTACTTCCAGTAGTTTGAAACAAGTTTGCAAAGAGTATGAAGGGGGAACTTTAGAAAATTGACCGTCCATGAGCGAGGATTGTTAGAGCACCGGATACTCTTAAGGGGAGGTCAGGTAAATTTTATTGGAACGCAACATTGAAATTCCCATTCGCAAGCAACGAGTTGTCATTCAAAAACATGGTGAAACAGCAGTCTTTTTGATTCAATAAAATCACAAAAAAGTACAAACGAGAAAGATACTAAATCTTGAGGTAAACTTCAAGGCAGGCAGACAGGTACTGAAATTTACATGCAGCCAAATCCTTTCAATTTTGGACTATCCGTACACAGCTACCTCTTTTCAATTATTCTCTGAGTACATTTTAGTTACCGTATGGCCTATAGTGCCGTTTTGAAAATTATCTGTAGTTTGAAAATATCTGTTTT